TTCCTAGTAGCGATGCCAGGAGCCCCTAGTAGCTTCTTGTTCCTAGTAGCGATGCCAGGAGCCCCTAGTAGCTTCTTGTTCCTAGTAGCGATGCCAGGAGCCCCTAGTAGCTTCTTGTTCCTAGTAGCGATGCCAGGAGCCCCCAGTAGCTTCTTGTTCCTAGTAGCGATGCCAGGAGCCCCTAGTAGCTTCTTCTTCCTAGTAGCGATGCCAGGAGCCCCTAGTAGCTTCTTGTTCCTAGTAGCGATGCCAGGGGCCCCTAGTAGCTTCTTGTTCCTAGTAGCGATGCCAGGAGCCCCTAGTAGCTTCTTGCTCCTAGTAGTATGGCCAGGAGCCCCTAGTAGCGTCCTTGCTCCTAGGAAGCCAAAAGTATTGCCGTGGATCTTTCTGTCTGAAAAGGCTGCTGTTCAGGGTGCAGGTTAAATGCTCTTTTTGGGGGGAAGGCTTGTGTTGGAGAGGTCCTGAGGTAGTGTTACCGCCTGTCCGAGTCCTTCTTCCGGTCTAGGGTGATTTGGGGCTCCCAACCCACAGACTGCGAAAGCACTCACCTCGCGCCTTCCTTGATTTGCTTCTTCATCATGGACTTGTCCTTGGCTGGGGAGACATCCGTCACCTCAAAAACCTCTTCCAACTTCAGCTCCAGCACAAGGCCATCAGGATGGCTGTCGCCTGCATAGGTTGAGTTGTTGCAGGTGAGCTTGCTCTCTTCACCCTTCTTCATCTTCAACAGGGCCTTCTCCACTGTCTTGCCCCAGATCCCCAAGATCTCGGAGCCCATGACATACTCCATGGAGCCTCGGATCGACAAACATCGGGAGCCAGGGATGGCACCAACGCACGCGGTCATACCATCCAGGTATGGCTACAAATTCTGAAGACCCCCCTTGTATGGCTAGAAAGCACATCTTCAGAAACTGATGCTGTTGTTTTTGTAAGGGGGTTCACATTGGCCATGTCTTTCACCAAAAAGAGAGAAATCGGTCTTTGGCCGAAGCACCTTTGTCTTCAATGAGACTGCCATCCATGTTCAAAGCCTTCAAAGAAAGTCTCACCTCACTGTCCTCTTTTGGCGACTTCCAGCCACTGCCCTCTGCCACCTGAAAAGGTGAGTGGATCCGCAAGAATGAGCCATCCACCATGTCCGAACCACCATGTCCGAAGCCGAACTCATAGGGGTTTCATTCCGAGGCATTCCTTTTCTTCATCCAATTCATGTCCACTCCGGGATATGCTGAGGAAAAAGACCACAGATCTGCAAAAACAAGTCCAGTGAACACAAAAGGGAAAAGTATCGTTGAACATGGATGATAATGGTTGGTAAGACCTTTCTCAAAAATTGTGATAATATGTTGCCGACCTCTACTGGCCGAAGAGGATCTTGCGATTTGGAACTTCCTTTTAGATCCCTGTCCAGTCTTCCATCCACATCTCGCCCAAACAAGCCACCCAGCCTCCACCCACCCTCCACCCATCCACGCCTGGAGTTGGATCACCCCTCCATCTCCAAAAAGGTCGTCCTTGGAGACCCAGTCGATGAGCTCCACTTCGAAGACCAGCGTGGCATTCTCCGGGATCGCAGGGGGGGACCCGCTGGCGCCATAGGCGTAGTCCTGCCAGCACGGAGGGGACAAAGGGACGAAAGGGGCAGAATGTGGCGTCGAGTCACTTTGGGGGTGGCTAGGGGAAGATATCTATGGATTTATGTGAACATTGCGATTTTATGTGGGTTTATGCGGATGTATGTGGACATTTTGCAAAATCAGTCCTATCAGTCCATCAGGTCCTATCTGGATAATGGGCTGAACCAGCTCATCAACCACACCGCCCATCAACCGCACTCCACCTGACCCACACGCCCAACCCGAAAGCCCAGCCCATCAAAAAAAACTTTGGTTTTTCACCCACCGCCCAACTCTCCGCCGGTCCGGGGAGAGGGTGAACTTGGCGACTTCCCCCTTCTTCATGGTGGCCACGCCCAAGTCCCAGCCCTTGATCACTTGACCTGGCGAGGGGAGGTGAACTGTTCGATGAGACCCGATCAAACATGGTCAAACACTGCTGTCGCCCCTCGATTGCTCGGGTCACCAAGTCTTCAGTCGAAAATTCAACCGTTGGAAGTTCTGATCAACACCGAATTGCAGTCACCAACGCATCCAAGTCTCCCTTCCCCAAGGTGAAGTTGAAGGGCTTCTCCCGAGATCGGGAGCTGTCAAACTGGGAGCCATCAGAGGCCAAAGTGCCCACGTAGTGCACTGTGACCTCATCGCCCGATTTGGGCTGCTTGTAGTTGCCAGCTGGGGCATCCGTGATGATTTCCTTCTCCACGCCCTCTGGAAGGCCGCTTGGCATGTCCATGTCACTGTCATCACCCATGTCGCCCATGCCACCAGTCATGGGGAACTCCTCGTCTGACATCTGTGCGAATTGAGTCTGTACAAATGGAATCCAGTCTTGGGCCACCTGCAAGGCTTAAGTCTAAGGTCAGCAACAGCTCCAGCCTGATACGACAGTATCAATCCAAGTGCAATTTATCACAACTCACAACCAAAGGCTCAAACAATTTGTATGTTTAAGAAAATCAGAGTCGGGCACTTGCTGTTGGTATGACAAAGAGCTTGCTTGTAGCGGTAATGAAAAGTGTTCCCTTCTTCGACCAATGATTTGCACAACTTTCAAGAGGTCAGTTTGGCATCTGCAGGCAAGTTGTCGAAAAAGCCTTGGCTCATCGGAAGATTCGTTTGCAGACGGAAGTGAAGACTATTCATTCGTTCTCCGGTGTCCCGGTCAGCTCTCACAGCACAGCACACCCGCACAAACAACCGAAATCCTTGTGGTGCATTGTGCATTCTTCTACATTCTTTTTGGAAACTCCTTTGACCAACCACCTATCAAGAAGCAAACGCCGCCAATGGATGGAGGACATCCTCACCGAATCCGAGGATCTTCCTCAGTTCGCCCTCACCACCCCGCCCCGCTCGGTGCCGCACCGGTCGTGTCAGACCAATCGGACCGATCTCGCGCACCGCCTCGATCACGTTCGATGGGTGGTGGCTTGCCGCCCTGGCCGCCCGGGCCGCCCTCCTGGTTTTTCTTCTGACGACGCTCCTGGCACGCGGAGGACGGGGCTTGTTCGGGCCGTGTGTGGTAAAAGTGCTGGTTCGAACGGACACACTGGATGCGCAGCTGACTGGCTGTTCGCAGCAATAAAGACTGGTGTGCCAACCAGCCCCAACATGTGGAATGCTAAGAATGGGACACAACAACTGCCAGTTTAAGAGACAGAGTGTATAGCCTTAAATGAACATATGATCTCCTGCCGAAAAGACAACCAGCTATGGGCTGAAAGTCTAACAATTCTGAAAGCCGCTCTACGAAGCCAACATGTACATTCAGCAGAACCCCTTTTGGGAAGACGACAACCACAGTGCAGGGTGAGCAAAACCGTCAAACCGTGAAACAGTGCAGGCGTCCTGACGATGCGTCTTGGTCGGAGCAGCCGGCGCGGAAGCAGCTGGCGCAGGAGCAGCCGGGGCCGGAGCCCACCTGGGCAGAGCAGGTGGCCCTTAAGTGGCCCTTAGGTGTGGTCGCAAGGGGTAGACTGGGTGGAGGCCATCGCGGCCTCAGGTTGGAGGCCATCGGGGGTGTCTCATCCGCGATTCAAGTGTCCTGTCATGGAAAAACTGCGGGGTCTGGCTTCGAAGAAACATCCTGCCAGGCTGATCTCAGACTGCCCGATCCTGGGAATCTACACAGGTCCGTTCATTCCCTCATTCTCTAAGGGTCAATGCAGCCCACTCCGTGAGACTCGGTTTCATTCTAGGGATTCTCCTGTGAGACTGAATGCCCCCTCATCAAGTGGAAACTCGTTTGTCGCTTTGGGTTATCACAAAAATGCCCGAAACTTAAAACAAACAAGCTATTTCCAGCTCTCCTTACAAAGGATTCACCACAGTTCGATCTCTTTGAGCTCCCACCACACTCCTGATCACCTCTGTTTCTGCTGCGACCAAAAAGCGAGCGCCCCGGCTCGGGGGCCCGGGGCGGCGGCAGGTCAGGCCTGGTGAGTCGAAGAAGGCGATCCTTTCATCGAAGAAAACGGGCTTTGGAAGGTGCATTTTGTGAGGAAGTAGGTTGGAGGCCATCGTTTTTGCGAAGGCGTTTGGAGGGTGTTGGAAGCCCATGGAAAAAGGCTACATGGAAAAGAACTGCGAATGTGGACTGGACGGTGTTGGACCAAGCCAGCGAGGCTGGCTTGAGCAAGTACACCGATCAAGTGGCCTTGGTTTGGTGGATGGTTTCACTATGGTTAGTCCAAGATTGCAAGTCATCCATCTTTCCCCACCTTGGGACCTCATCCTCTCTCTTCTGACCTTTTCTATGGGCAAGCCGGGCAAGCAGCTGAAAAAGGCATTGTTGAGTTGAGGTTCACCTTCGGGGAAGAGCTCTCTCGGACCATGCCCTCTCCGAGCATCCACACGGGCGCCACATGTGTGGAGGTGGTCCCATCGGCCTCTCACAAGACAGTGGCTGAGAACGCAAAAGACATGGCGTGGCCACGCCATGCGGGTCAATGAGAAGTACACGGACCACAGACCACGCAATGCTGGTCCACAGAGAAAGGCTTGGACAGCCTGGGAGGCTCTAGACACTTTCAAAAACAGCAGCCTTCATACAGGCAGTCACCAAAGGACCTACAGTAGCTTTTGAAGCTAGCCAATCAGCATGCACTTTCTTTGAACATGTCCAGACAAATCTTAGTAGGGACATACGATCAGTAGAGCTTGAACTGACCTGATGAGTACCTCTGACAATTCGCCATAAACTGATCATGTGGAGTCGGAGGTGTGTGTGTGTGTGTATATATATATATATATACTGATGTACTGATATACGCGTTTCGTCTTGTTTCAGTCGATCCCACCCTCCATCCACCTCTTTCCCGGCCTCAGACAGGATTGAAGCAGCTGGACCTGGCAGAGTGCCGGGGGTCCGTTCGCCGGTGCCCCCGCCCGCAGAAAAAAGGAAAGAAAAAGAACTCGTCCGTGCTCATGAGACCCGTGAACAGAAATCATTTCGTCTGGACATCAACCCGTCAACCCATCCCAAACCGCTTCTGGGAGCGGGGCTCGCTCAGCCACAACCGGCCGTGCTGGCTCAAGCAAGTGGATCTCCTTGGCCGTTGTGTCAGGCGTTCCACCTTTCCAGAGAGCAACCCCTGACTGAACAATACTCTCAAACTCACAATGAAGAAAACAAGCAAGCCAGGCCAGATTGGGTGTCTTGTCTTTGGATCAAACGCCATCCCTTTCTAACCCCTCACAAGAGCAATAGCAGGTTCTTCAGTTTGGGAGTTTCTCCAAGCTTCCACAAGAAGAATATGACAGAACAGCTCACCTCTGTACTCTATAGAATGCTTCGCAGAAAAGCCGAACACCAGTAGAAGCAGGGAATCAGCCAAAACTTCTTCTGCTGTAGTTCAGTTTACCCCAATCTCCCCCCATCTTCATCAGCCACCCGAACCACCCACCACTCACTGGGTTCCTGGCAAACTCCCCACGGCCGCCCGGCGCAGGTTTCAGGGACCTCAGCATGCGCGTGCTCTCGCGTGCTCCAACCTAATGGCGATGGCCTCCAACCTACAAACGTGTGTGACGGTGACGCCAGCATGTGATGAAGTGGAAGTTTAACTTGCCAAGTGGTGGGTAATGGAATGTGAACACCTTCGGCACAAGCCCAGTCAACCAAATTGATCCGCGACTCTAAACAAACGGGAGACAAACGGACGGGACAAAATCCCAGAGGGCGATCGAAAAGCACCGAACGCTGAAGACTGTTCGCTTCATGGTGAAAAAAGAAATAAAAATTGTCCTTCTATGTCCTTCCAGTTTCTCCAGCCCCCGCTTGGCAACGAACGGCCCTGTTTTTGGCGAGCAGGAACGCTTGAAGCGTTGACACCGTTAACCGGCAATGGTTTCCATTGCCATCAGATTCGCTGGGAATCTTGGGCCACACCACAGGCCATACTATCTGATCAGGGCACCTGGTGTTCAGGCAGGCACCTCAATCGTCAAACGTGTTCTAGAAACAGAGAGGGACCTTTTTGGCAAGTCTCGATTTTGCTCCCATCTGTTCCACTTATACGCAGTTCCGCAGCCATGTCAGGCCCCTCTACACCACCTCGTTCTTTGTTCTTTGCACACGACTTGAAGCAGCAAACTGCCTCAAGTCTCACCCGCGGATGAAAGGCTCAAAGGAATCCGACAAGGGACTGACTTTTCCAACGCTTTGTTCGGCAAATACCTGGTCCAGGGCTCCCGAAGACTAGAGAGCAATCTGTCGGCGCGTGTCTGTGTGTGGTTGTGTGAGAAGGAATGCTGAGAACCCACCGCGGAATCCTCAGAGGTCCAGAGATGAGTCGGAAGGTGGGGTTTGCGGAGGATGCTTTTGGCCTGGTGGATTGCTTGCACAAAAGACCTGGCATGGGCCGTGCTTTTCTTTGGGAGGATCTTCCGTCTCTCAAAAGGTTTGCGCGTGCACACAGTTCTTTCTGTAGATGTAGAGATGGAGGGAAAGAGTCTTGTGATCAAACAAGGACTGCACACGCTGAGTTACAAGGACATACAAGAACTGCACCTGAAGCTCAGACTCCAATCAGTGAAGCCCAAAGACCCCTTTTCATCCTTTCACCCGTTCTATCCCGAAACCAGAAGCCCGGAGCACCTGGCCGAAACTGAAACCGGGAAGTTGTGGAAGTCCCTGCTCACAGGGACTGCGGCGCATAGCGTTGAACACACCGACATGCAAGCCCGCGTGCTGTCCCACAGAGGTCTGGGCTTCGAATTCCATTGAAATGTGTGAAACCCTTCGCTTCAACTGCAAGCTGTTTGATCTACTGATCCAGAAGCAAACCAAGATATGTCCAAAAAATCACCGGGGCAGCGTGAAAACCCAGCGAGCTTCCTGGAGCTCTATCGAACAGTCTTTGACTGACCATGAATTGGCCACAGACCTATGCATGCAGCACGAATTAAAGGAAGATCCTGCATACTATGAATAACGATGAAAGCAGCATGCACTTCAATCATGTTGTCACGTTTTTAGTACTAACATGGTATGCAACGTTGTCAAGGCAGCTGATGTGAAGTGCAGCGTGCAAAGACTCCTCTAAGGCTCAAACTAGCTCTTCACTCACTAAGATATCAACGTCTTGAAGATATGGGAAGGTCCAAGGAGTGTGGGCTTCTGAGGAGCATAAACAAACCACCACATTTGATAGCTTTCAAGCAAACGGAATCTGCCTGGTACATTTGAGAGCATTGGAGAGTTGGAAGGTACGGATATAAATTGAATGAGTGTTGACCTACAGTACAATATATAGGAATGAGTGCCAAAGCTACTTGACACCTCCAATATATATATATATATATAGTATATATAGTTGCGAACGGATGAAAAGCGTGCCCCTGGCCCCGTTCTAGCCCTTAGTCTAACATGAAGCTCGCGCGCTAAAGCTCCTTTTTACCTGGTTGGGCACTTGAGCCAAAAAGGTATGGCAAGTACCTATGTAGAAGCTATACTGAGACCTCATCTCTATTGACACCCCCCACATCCGTGCTTCGACGGGGAAGGGAGATGAGTGGATGTAAAAACCGGAGAACGAATCAT